CCTCTTCTCAACGTGAGCCTCTGGAACATGGTTTCCATATTCTCTTCCCGTCTCCCATTCTGGACTCCACTCTCTGACTTTAAAACCGCTCCTATACTGCCCTCTTCTCTCTCATAAGAAAACTTAGACACATTTACTTCTTGAAGTCTGTACAACCTTGAAAGACCCATGTAAGAATTCTGAGGAAGCCATGAACCTCACTTACCCCTTGTTCCCAAACTCAGTCAAGAATCTTGGTTGTTTATTTTGAGACAGGGTCTCTCTGTAGCCCAGGTTAACCTCAGATTCTTGGCTATCCTCCTGCCTTAGCCTCCTCAATGCAGGCATTGCAGGTGAGCCACTTTTCCTTGGCAAGACCATTTCTTGGTGCGATTCGCCTTTGGGTGAATCAAACCGACCTAGTCTATGAGAGAAGCAATTGTGGGGCCTTCCATCTAAAGACCAGAAAAGGGAAAATGAATGTATAAGTCACTCAGGAACTTAATGCAGGGTGCAAGAAACTTATGTCAAAGTGGCCACAAGATTGTTACTAGGAGACGTACGAATGTAACTCCATGTTTACTGCTAGAAACCAAAGCTTTGTGAGAAATCTTGAATTTATGGGAAATTCGAGGAGGGGTGGGGAAAGTGTGTACTTGTCTGTCCTTTCCCTGATCCCTTCTCTGCCCTGAACTGCAGGAGACTGAGCCCCCTTGGGCTTTGGTGGCCCCACCACGGGGGTGTTTATTTCATGGTTGACTTTTACTGTACCCGGGTACTTATATTCCTATCGTATAATCATTTTGTAACACGTGCTAACTTTCCCTTCCCTTCTTCCTTGGGAAAATAAAGACTTATTGGTACTCAAACTGTTCTCATCAGATATTTAGGATGCTTTTCTCTCCGCATAATCCCCACCTTGGATAGGAAGGCACAGAGCCATTAAGGTTTCCCCTTCCCACTTTGTTAGGGATGAATCTTGAAAGTTCAGCCCTTATAGCACCTCATTACACTGGATTTTTGTTTCTAGTTAAGGCCTCTTGTCCCTTCCTTGGAAGCTGCCACATTCAAGAGGGGATTAGAGGCCTGGCATGCATAAGAATGGGGATGCCTGTGCTACTGGCTGGGATGAAAGGACGGGGCCAGGGCTCAGGGCATGAGACCCTAATAATACTTTGTCCTTTACTCCTCAAAGCCCTTTACAAATCCTAATTAACCCCTTGCAACACCCCAAAAAGGAAAATACCATACAGAACTGGGGAAGTTGAGGCCAAAGGCAATTCACTGACTGTAAACCAATATTCTGAGATACAGTTTGCTAGCTAGCTTTCTAATGAACACTTAAATGTTGTCCAAAGGAGAGGAAGATTTTAACAGGAAGAGGGAGAGAAAAGAATTTGACCAGAGGGAAACCTAAGTATTAACAGACAGTGGATTAAATAAATCCTCGCCCAGTTAGCAGAGCAGGGGGGTTGTGACCCTTTAACTAATTGTACCAAAAGTTAAACCTAGCAACGCTAACTACTGGGCTTCAGTGAGCTAAGGGGCTTCCTGAAACACCCGTGTTAGCAGAAACTTCACAGCCCACAAAGGGGAGAGAATGGAAGCGTAAGACCTGGTGAATGGGTTATTCATCGCTACAGCTTTGTTTAGTCACAGCTTTCATCGGTAGGACTGAAAGGCCGCATTGCTTCCTTGCCTGATGTCGGTGAGACTGCAGGGCAAGTGAGGTAAGGTTCGCTGGGAACAGAAGTTCTATGACAGATGGGAGTACCGCTTGAAACATGCTAGTTGCATCAGATATCCAAAGTTCAGGGAGTTTTTTGAAGTTTTGTGTTTTAACCTTTGAGAAAACAGAACTAACAACCTCTTCCAAATCTGTATCATCAGGCAGTAGGTAATACTTTTGAGATGTCTCCTGAAGCCCACGGTAGCCCCAATTTTGTTACGTTCGGTATCCAGAAGTCTTGCACGATTTGGTATACAGGCCATACTTTTGATCTCTTCACTTGACTATGGTCTTTCTGTTGTTTCTATTTTTCTTTAGTTTTGAGGCTGGGTTTCCTAAGAAAGCCCATGCTAGCCTCAAAGTCTAGGTCACCTAAACTGCTAATTTTCCTGCTGCCCACTGCCACCATGCTGTTTTATGCTGGGCTCAACATTGAACCCAGGACTGGGTAAACTAGGCAAACACCGCCTATGCTATATTCCCCAGCACAACAGCCAGTTATCGTAAAGTAAATCTCATTCCGGCTTTTAAGTTCAATTAACGTGGATCTTGGCAATATAAATTACAAAACTCTGCATGTCTTAAATCAGTCCAAACAGTGACCAGAGCAAGAAACCTTTCTGATCAATTAATAACACTAAAAGGCGATAAGCAGAAATGCGTTAATACTAATAAAAAAGACAGTGTTCTATATAGATGAGGCTGACCTGTAGCAGAGAAGACCTGGCCTCAGCCTCCTGAGTTCTGAGTGACAGGGCGCCACCATTTTCCACTAATAGTACAATGTTAGGATGAAACGGCAGCAGTTTTAAAAGAAGCCCACTTCAGCCCTGCACGGTTTATGTCCATAATCCCAGTAGCTGGAGACTGAGGCAGGAAAAACGCTGACAGCACGTTGTTAGCGGCTCAACCAAAAGCACTGCGGTCGTCCACAGAGAAACTCGTTTCTGAGGTGCAGCCGCCCCCTTCCCGCAGCTAATTGCCCCAAAGCACCCGAAGCCGCCACGCACATTTCGTGGGCTGGTCTCCGGCTGCCCGCAGAGGTCCTGGCGGGACGCTAACTCGCCGGATCACATGGCCTCGGCTTCCCAGCCCGCTGTTTCCACGCCCCCGCGGGAACGTGCACCACCGGTCGACTCTCCCGAGCTCCCGCCCCTCCGCCTCCCAGTCCGCAGGCGCAAAGCGTGGCCCCGCCCACCGGGGGCGGAGGAGGTGTGTCCTCGCGCGAAGCGGTGACGTGTTCTTCCAGCGCCACGTCGGGAGTCGGGAGTGGTAGAAGTAGGCTTCCCACGGAGTCCTAGGTGCCCAGTGAACGGAGAGACCCGCGGGAGGGGAAGCTGGGTGAGGAGTCGGCTGCGGGCTGCGGGCGATACTGAGGGCCACCCAGAGGAGTGATTCTAAGATCACCAAGGTAACAGGTGCGGCTGCCGATGGGTGTAGTGTTTGCTTAGCCTAGAGTGAGAAATGGGTTGTAGGAGAAATTGAGTAGGAAGTTGTAGGCACCGTGATGCAGGATATTTGGAAGAAATCAGTGCACAGAAGATGGAAGAGGAAATGGGAACCCCTTGTCCCAAAGGTCTCTCGTTGATTTGTACAGGCCTGGGTGGTGAAAGAGTAGACCTGTGTTTCGGGATTCAGGTGTTGGCCTCTTGCCAAAGGCGAACAGAGTCCCTTTAAGTCAGGTATATTTATTTACAAGCAAGGATGACTTCTCTCTCTTTTCATTTATTCAAGGTTATCTGGTTGGTATTTTGTTCTGGGGTGATTTCTGACACAGCAAGAGCTATGTCATGGATCAAAGAAGGAGAGCTGTCACTTTGGGAACGGTTCTGTGCCAATATCATAAAGGTAAGCAGTAGCCCAGAGGGCATGTTGACCTGTTGGATAGTTGGGTAATCTTATTAAAATTCATTATTAAATGTTAGCAATCCCCGCTGGTAAGTGGATTTTAGCAAAGAAACAAGATAATCTTAACGCAGGACTGCATTTCTAGTTTTTACTGTCCTGAGTGAGCGACTTGGTTTTTATTTTTAAAGACAATCCAGGATCTCTTAATATCATTGGACAACATAGACTATTAGATTTGGTGTTGAGAATGTCAAAAGAACTCGCTGGTCGGATGTTTACTTGGTATGCACAAGACCCTGAATTAGGAAGAAAAGAGAGAGAACGTGAATATGAACAAGAGTGAACTGATATTTGTCTCCCTAGAGCAGTATTCTCACCTGTGGGTCATGACGATCCTTCCACATGGGGCTACATCTCAGATATTCTGCATACCAGATATTTGCATTATGATTCATAGCAGTAGCAAAATTATGGTGGTGAAGTAGTAACGGAAATGATTTTATGGTTGGGGTCACCACAACATGAGGAACTGTATTAAAGGGTCACAGCATTAGGAAGGTTGAGAAACTTCATCAACTTTACCTTATACTATCTATGGTGTTACTCTGTTGATGGTTAAGATCACATACCTTTAATTCCAGCACTTGGGAGGCAGAGGCAGGCAGATCTCTGTGAGTTTGAGGCCAGTCCGGCCCACAAAGTGCGCTCCAGGACAGCTAGGGCTGTTACCAGAGAAATCCTGTCTTGGGAAGAAAAAAGAAGGTTACTAGGGAGGATGAAAATGACCAAAGTATAACATGTCTAACACGCATGGATGGAAAAGTTATAGTATAACATGTATAACACACATGGATGGAAAAGTTATAGTGAACTGTAACTTTTTTTGTACTATTGAAAAACAAAAGTATACCGAGTTCTCTTTCTCAGAGGTTTTATCTTAAAGTATGTTAATGGTATTTATTTAGTGTGTGTGTGTGCATGTTGTTTGGAGGCACATATATGCCACAGCACAGATGTGGAGGTCAGAAAAGAACTTGTAGTAGTCATTTTTTTCTCCTAGTGTATGCACTGGTCCTGGGTCTCAAACTCAGGTTGCTGAGCTGGGCAGGAAGCACCTTTACCCACTGAGTTAGCTTGCCAGCCCAGGGATTTTATCTGATTGTTCAAACCTATTAGTTCAGGATGTACTGTCCCCTTTTATCCCAAAGAGAATGAAATTGGCTCATTGTTTGTCTTATTCTATAGGCTGGCCCAGTGCCCAAACATATTGCATTCATAATGGATGGAAACCGTCGCTACGCCAAGAAGTGCCAGGTGGAACGGCAGGAGGGCCACTCTCAGGGCTTCAACAAGCTTGCTGAGGTGGGTGTGGGCAGCAGAACCGGAGGTGAATGATTTGCACTAGATGGAGTTGGAAATGAAACTGAGGTGCTGTGGTTTAAGTACTTTTGATTTTTGTTTTGCTGTATTGTTTGTTTGCCAGCCAAGGGTCTCGTACTGGCATTAACAAACTGTCGTCCTCACAGAATATTAGAGTTAATAACACACATCAGCCTTTTCCAGTCTTTTTAGTTTTACTGTCTTGTTTTATTGTGTCTTGTCTGGGCTACAATTAAATGTCTTAATATTTATACAATTGATGGGTCAGCAGGGAAGGGCACAGGCCACCAAGTCTGACCTGAGTTCATTCCCCGGAACACTTGTAAAAGGAGCACCCCGACTCTGGCAACTTATTTTCTAACCGTCGTAGACATTTTGTGTTCGGCATGACCTGATGCACACACATGCACAAATGTCAGAGTCACCTTTTCTAATTGCATACATCACTCTGATGACTTTATACTTGTCAGGCTTTTGGATTTTTGTTTTTCCCCTTTCTACCTATATCCTAGTTACAGAAATTTGTTTGTTTGCTTATTTATTTTTGAGGGTTTCTCTGTGTAGTCCTGGCTGGCTTGAAACTTCCTCTGTAGACCAAGCTGCCCCAAACTCACAGATATCTGCCTGCCTCTGGCTCCTGTGTTCTGAGATTAAAGCATGAGACATCACAAGTGGTGATATTTATTTTAGAGACAGTGTCTTATATAGCCAGGCACCCTCAAAATCTGTAACCAAAGACAGTATTGATCCCCTGCTCTAGAAGTGCTAGGATTACAGGCATGGTGCAACTGCTCATGACTTTCGTATTGTGCTGGCATTGAACACGCGCTTTGTCACCAGCTGACCTACCTCCCCAACAGTCGTTTATTTATTTATTTCGACTTTTAAGAACTTTAGCCAGGTCAGGTGGTGATGGTGCATGCTTTTAATCCCAGCACTTGAGAGAAGCAGAGGTAGGTGGATCTCTGTGAGTTTGAGGACAGCTAGGACTATTACACAGAGAAGCCCTGTCTCAAAAAAAAAAAAAAAAAATCAACACCAAAGTGAGCGCCTCCCTATGTTTCCATGCTGGACTTGCACTCCCAGAAGCTCTTTTTGACATGGTTCGGCTTTCGGAGCTGACTGATACGCGCGTATGCAACAGGTGACAGCAACAGTCCGCTTGCAGATGGTCATCTGGAAAGTGAAGCACAGGACGGCCTTGGCCACTGTGCAGGCCCACCTGGCGTTCCAGCCTCGGGCCGCAGCATCAAGACGTTCTGTTCGTTCCGTTCCGTTCCTGGCAGTAATCCCTCACTTTTGTATTCTGTCTTGGCCGTCCTGTCAGGATGATTTTGTAATCCCTTTCCGCAGAGAGAGAAGCCTAGACCCAGAAAGGCCTACAGTTGTGAGTCCATGATGGAATTGCTGGGTAGACCTTTATGTTCTTGCTGAAGAGTGCTTTGGGATAAAATGCAGATCAGTTTTTTGTTTCCTGTAGCCCAGGGTGGCCTCAAGGTGAATAGGTAGCCCAGGCTGCGCTTAAACTCATGATCCTCCTGCCCTCACCTCCCAGATGCTCAGATTGTAAGTGTTCACCTGCATGCCTGGAGCGATCTCTTCTGTTTATTTTTATTTATTTCTTTATTTATTTTGCGGCAGGGTCTTATTAGGTAAGCTAGCTTTGATCCTTCTGCCCCAGCTTCTCAAATACTGGGATAATAGAACTGAGCCACCATAGGCAGCCTAAGGCTTTTCAGTTTCTTGAATGGTGACTTTCTTCCTAGTTGGTTTGTTATTCTAACGTAAGTACTGACATTGCCCTTGCTTTACTTGTACGGGAGGAGACAAATCTTTGTTGCAACCATTCTCAGGGTGGAAGCATTGCTTACTTTTCCCCATTCCTCCCGAGTCCTAACTCTTTCCCTTTTCCCCCTCAGACTCTACGCTGGTGTTTGAACCTGGGCATCCTAGAAGTGACTGTCTACGCATTCAGCATTGAGAACTTCAAACGTTCCCAGAGTGAGGTTGACGGACTACTGGACCTAGCCCGACAGAAGTTCAGTTGCTTGATGGAAGAACAGTAAGCTGCTGTCCGTATTGAAAATGTCCCCTTCCGCCACCTCTGAGCCCACCCCTTCAGGAGGATGACACCCAAGGTTGTCCACGTGCACACAGCTGTCCGTATTGAAAATGTCCCCTACCGCCACCTCTGAGCCCACCCCTTCAGGAGGATGACACCCAAGGTTGTCCACGTGCACACAGCTGTCCGTATTGAAAATGTCCCCTTCCGCCACCTCTGAGCCCTCCCCTTCAGGAGGATGACACCCAAGGTTGTCCACGTGCACACACAGGAAACACAGAACTACTACTAGTCTGTGCTTATTGTTGGGAAATTAAATCCCTGTGTAAAGAAGAGAGGGCCTTGTAGGTGGCCACAGAAAGTTAGTGACGGAGTCCAGCTGGGAACCCAGTCCTGGCTCCTCCGGGGCCTTTGCAGTTCCTCAGTAAACCTCAAGGAGTTCTTTGCCTCTGTTCTCTGGGAGTGAGCATTCCTGTGCCCTTCTTTTCACTTTACCAGCCAGTGGGGACAATAGCACAGCTGCCTATCTCCAGTTTACAGGTAGGGGGAGATGAGAGACACATAGGGGTGGATCTCAGAGAAGCCAGGATCATCAAAAGTGGGGGTACTTTAATTGAAATCTAGGTCTTTTCAGATTTTGCTTTGATTAGACTGTACATGTTTTTTTAAAGGTTTATTTGATTATTATATGTATACATACACACACACACACACACACATATATACACATGTATATGCCTGCAGGCCAGAAGAGGGCACCAGGTCTCATTATAGATAATTGTGAACCACCTTTTGGTTGCTGGAAATTGAACTCAGGACCCCTGGAAGAGCAGCCAGTGCTCTTAGCTGCTGAGCCATCTCTCCAGCCCCCATATTGATCTTTTATAATCTAGTATAGCCTCGAAAATAGGTAAATGGTTCTTGTTTCACAGACTTTGACAAGATGTGGTTGAAGGTTATATAGGGCAGATGGGCCATGAACATGGCCTTTGATCTGGGTCACGTCCTTCAGGACCCGCCATGACTCCTACCCCACACTAATAAGCTTGTGCTTCACAAACATAAAGCGGTGGTTTCCTTACAGCATTGGGAGTGAGCGGCTGTGCCCTCACTGTGCGGCTGAGTCACTGTTGGAACAACGCTGTGAATGGTCAGTGTGCAGGCTCTGAAGTGGAGCCTCAGGTTTAGACCTGGCCTTGCTTCCATCCAGATTTCTGAACAGTTTGTCTTCTGGACCTCAGTTCCTTGTCTGTGAAGGGGACATAGAGTGTGTACCTCCAAGTCTGGTGCAGGGATTGAAATAGAGTATTTCAACCATCATTTAACACAACAAAATATGCACCCTCTGCTGTCATTATTACCTTACTTCACTAGAATATAACATGTTTATATTCTTAAGGCAGATATATCTGGTTCAAGCCAGATGCGATATGAGAAGTTGCCTTGGACAGTCTCTGTCAGTCTCTGGGCTGTGCTGACTGACTGTCAGAGTGTTGACGCAGTTCTGAAATCAGTCACAGCGTCACAGCGTCACAGCGCCTGGCACGGCGAGCACTCAGAAAGAAGCTCCTGCTCGTCAGTGCCGCCTCTTCCCCTCCTCTTCCCCCATCAGGGAGAAGCTAAAGAAGCATGGGGTTTGTATCCGTGTCTTAGGCGATCTGCACTTGTTGCCCTTGGATCTCCAGGAGAAGATTGCACAGGCTGTCCAGGCTACTAAGAGCTACAACAAGTAAGTTCAGGCTGTCCCTTAAGGATGGCGCCCAGAGCCTCCTCGGTCTGTGCTGGGCATGAAGTCCAGCCAGGGGGTCAGTAGTTTGGGACGCTGCTTACCCTGGGGAGGAGACAGCTGCCTTAACATTTACCCACACAAAAACCCAGTTCCTCATCGCATGCCCCCCCCCCCACTGTGTGTGCACATCTGGGGAGGAGACAGCTGCCATACCACTGACCACGCACAAACCCAGTTCCTCATCACTTCCCCCCATCCATGTGTGCACTTACAGACACACCACACATCCTTTAATGTGACAAGAGTTGGGATAGCTACAGGCCAGGTGTGGTTTTACATCCCCTAATCTCACCACTCAATAGGCAGGAACAGGCATGGCTCTGTGGGTTTAAAGCAACCTGGACAACATGGAGAGACCCTGCCTCAAAAAAGAAATCCAATGGCTTAATTCTTGTCTCTTATGTTTTTTAAGAATCTTATCTTGTTTGTTTGGTTTTTCGAGACAGGTTCTCTGTGGAACTCTGGCTGTCCTGGAGCTCGCTCTGTTAGACCATGCTGGCCTCAAACTCAAGAGATCCGCCTGCATCTTTCTCTCAAATGCTGGAATCAAAGGCATGCACCACCATCACCCAGCTCAAGAATCTTTTCTGTCTCGCTCTTTGGCCCATTAACAAATTTAGAGGACAGAATTCAGCAATCCATACAGCATTGTGCGTGGCTTTGAAATAATACTGTTTGGAGTGATTATATTTTATATTCAGTCTTCTGCTATCCTTTGATTATGCTAATATCACAGTAAATTTCTGTTCTTTGAGCTGGTTGTCAGTAGAGGGGGAGACGGTTAGGAAGGCAAAGAAAGGTCATTTGGTTTTGATCTAATTAAATGAAGAACATGTTTATTCCAAGAGCTCTTAGAAATCATAAAACAACCACACAGCCGGGCGGTGGTGGCACATGCCTTTAATCCCAGCACTCGGGAGGCAGAGGCAGGCGGATCTCTGTGAGTTCGAGACCAGCCTGGTCTACAAGAGCTAGTTCCAGGACAGGCTCCAAAACCACAGAGAAACCCTGTCTCGAAAAACCAAAAAAATAAATAAATAAATAAAAAAACCACACAATCTCACCCTTCAAAAATATTCTGCAAATATGAAGTGCCTGTGTCCTTCCAGGGAATGGCTGCTCCGGAATCAGACTGTGGCTATCAGACCCTATCCCTGTTTGGTGAACTGTTCTCCTCTGCCGTCCTCAGGTGTTTCCTCAATGTCTGCTTTGCATACACATCCCGTCATGAGATCACCAACGCTGTGAGAGAGATGGCTTGGGGAGTGGAGCAAGGTCTACTGGAACCCAGGTATCTGGGGTATCTTTCCTGGTAGCTGATTGGAAAGCTGGGGTCCACCAGGTGTTAAAACCTTTTCTGAGCCATATACTTGGCCAGAGCTCAAATCAGGGGTATGTATGGAAAGATTTAGGAGATTTTCCCCAAATAGTGGTTAGGGTCTTCTAAGTATACTACACACCAACAACCCACTGAAAAACAGCAGAGCAGCTGCCAAGGCCATCCAGTCCAGTAAGAAGTGACCCCCCTCCTCGCCCCTGTTAACACTTTCCCATTCATTCTTGTGTATGCTTTGTCAAAAGAGGATCTTTTAGGCTTCTCATATTACAGTTTCATAACACAGGATTAAGATATTGTGAGGCATGGGTAGAGGGAGAAAAAAAGGAGAATTTGTTTTGTTTGTTTTTATTTTTCAAGACAATTTCTTTGTGTATCTTTGGAGTCTGTCCTGGAACTCACTCTGTAGACTAGGCTGGCCTTGAACTCACAGAGATCCTCCTATCTCTGCCTCCAGAGTGCTGGGACTAAGGGAGTGTGCCACCACCGCCTGGCTAGGAAGGGAAAGTTTTAATCATTACCAGCATAATGGAATCCTAATTATTAAGGCTTAGAGTAATAGAGGAATTTTTGAAGCCATCTGTCTATTTGGCCTGTCTAATGTTGTTTCTGATAATATTAGTAAATTAGTAATAGTGACAGTAAAATAAATGGTAGCAGAAATGTTGAGGTAATGTGTCATGTTCCCTGTTTACTGTGAGACGGTCCAGCCTTTTTTATTTCTTTGTTTGTTTGTTTTTTGTTTTTCAAGACACAGTTTCTCTGAGTAGCCTTTGCTGTCCTAGAACTCACTTTGTAGACCAGGCTGGCCTGAACCGACAGAAATCCACCTGTCTCTGCTTCCCAAATTCTGGGGTTAAAGGTGTGTGCCACCACCACCCAGAGGTCCTTTTATTTTATTGATGTGAAAACTGTGAGTAGTTTATCCGAGGTCAGCACCAAGTCCAGTCATTGTCTTTTATATTTATTATGTGAGCTCTTGGGATGCAGGCAATTTTCTGACTTCTTTTTCTAGTATAATATGATTGGCTGGAAACTAAAGTCATGGAGTTGGGCTGGGCCTATAATCCTGTCGACTTAGAGAGGCTCGCAAGTTGACAGCCTAAGAGCAGAGCTCCAGGGAGGCTGGAACTTGTTTGTGGGGCACTTGCTTGGTAGGTGGACGACCTTGGGCTTGGTCACATGAACAAACAAGAAGACAGTTCGCCCTTTTTTATTTTATTTTATTTTGTTTGTACTTTTTTAACGAAATGACTAATGCTTAGCCAGAGGGTACCCTCAGAGTCCAGAGTATCGGATCCCCTGGAGCTGGAGCTGCCTGTGGTACTGGAAACTGAGCTCAGTTGTCTGGCAGAGTAGCAGTCCTTCTTACCCATGAGCCATCTCTCCAGCCCCACAAAGCACTGTTTTCTTTCTTCATGTTTTCATACAGGGTCACACTATGCACCTGGCTGGTTGGAACTTGCTGTGTAGATCACCAGGTCTGCCTGCCTCTGTCTCCCAGGTGCCAGGATTAAGGATGTGTGCTCCTCTGCTGGCTCAGCCTTTTATTTATTCATTTTTAATACAAGCTGTAGGTAAGCACATGGCTCTATAGATAAGTGGTGAGAATACAGAGATCTACTTTTTTCTATGTTTGGAGCTCTAGTAAAGAAAACACGTGGGCTGGAGAGATGGCTCAATGGTTAAGAGCACTGGCTGCTCTTCCAGAGGTCCTGAGTTCAATTCCCAGCAACCACATGGTGGCTCACAGCCATCTGTACTGAGATCTGGCGCCCTCTTCTGGCGTGTGGGCATACATGGAAGCAGAATGTTGTATACATCATAAATAAATAAATAAATCTTTTTTAAAAAGTAAAAAAAAAGAAAACATGTTAATCAAGATACAAATTAGCACACATAATGGTGACACATATCACAAAGGCACTGGTCATGGTACTGCAAGGATTTATGATAAATGGAATATTCTTGGTAGAGAAGGCCTTCCTCCTGGAAAAGTGACCTAAGAGGGAAAAAGCAGCAGTAACTAGGGCAAGGCAGAGCTATGAGTGAGGTGAGCCTTGTTCAGAGCAACTCTTGAATAATGGTACCACTCGAAGGGAGTTGGATTGTGGTGGTGCTGGAATAGACAAAGCAACCTGTACTGAGGGGAAGAATTTGAATCAGTGGACTGGTTCTGGAGAAAGGATGTTATCCAGGATGTTTGACCTGTTAGGGTCCCACATTGGAGTGACATCTGTTGGGGTCCAACCTCGACAGGGTTTGCATGTTCCAGGGTAGGGGTATGTGGATTAGAAACACCAGGCATACAGAACAGAGATACAAAAGAAATAGAGACACAGAATAGAACCAGGAGGGCAATCGGTGAACATTGAATTTTTCCGCATTTATTTTCCATATGCTTATATATCCTAATCCAAAAAAAGGTGGGAAGAGGGCAAAAGACGGCTTTAGTGTGATACAAAGAACAAACAGAGCAATACCTCTTCAGTATCTGAAGCATCAAGCTGCTGATACCCTGAGTTAAATATTCTGTTTGTTTAGGCAGGACCACACCTTAGGCCAAGTATCCTGTAGGCAGGCAGGAACTCTGGGGGGGGGGGGGTGTCAAACCTCCCTTCACAACCTTGAAGGAGCAGGAATAGGCTCTCTGACCTTTGTTCTAGGTGGAATGGATCTACCTCTATAGCCCATTTTTAATACCCAAAACACCAAGTAACCACACCGAGGTTAAGGTCAAAGACACCTTGTTAGTAGCCACACCTTAAGTCAAGCCTCAGTAACCTTGAAGGAGCAAGAAAAGGCCTGAACTCTGATCTTTAGACAAGATGGGCTCTCACATTGACCCATGGATTTTAACAGTGTGCTTGGGAACCCTAGACAGGATCCCATTTAAGGAACAGAGCCAAGTTTGGTTCTGGGCTTGTCACACAGCGAAGATGTTGGATCAGTGGTCCAGGGGGGTAAGGACCAGAGGTACTCCAGCAGGAAGGTTCCAGCGGAGAGGAAGAAGGAGCTAGAAAGTCTGCTGTGAGTAGAAGGCCAAGGCTGGAGTTCTGAGGAACTATAGGACAGATTGGCACTTAGAAGAAAAATGGGCGGTCTGTGTTCCAGAACCCAGAAGATAGAATTTGTCGGTAGAGATTGAGAAGGATGTGGGCACAGGTCGGCGTGACAGTGCTAATTAGGTTGTAGATTAGAAATTGGCTGGTGGGGGAACTGAGACATTGGCTAAGTGGGTGGGTCTAGGAGGCAGTCAAGCTGTTCGGGCAGGAGAGGGACATACAGTAGTGAGGATATGTTTGACCCTAGCATGCGCAAGTTCCTGGGTTCAATTTCTTGTACTTCCTAGCCTCAGAGAGACAGAGAAAACATGAGAACATACATATGTAGATGCAAGTGATTGGTGATTAGCTTAGGAGTAATTTCATAGTTCATTATATTATTTTTATGAATCATGGTTTGACTAGTCTTATATGTATAAAATAATAATTGAAGTGATAGTGCAAAATATCTATGCTAGAAGGAAAACTGTAACTTAGCAGGCTGATTTAATACGTATTTGCTCCTGGGAGCTCTGATCTGACCCCGGGACAGCTTTAACCTCACCCTGTAGCTTCAGTGTCCACTGTCTTACGTCTTGCCCACCTCCCAGGAAGTGTTTCCTAACCGCCTTCCGGACTCCAGCGTTTTGTAATCTGCCTCTGTGGGGCTGTCATGTTACCAGGTAGATAGAATCACCAGGGTTGAGACCAACATCTCAGCCCAGCACCTTCTGCAGCTTGACTCTCAGCTTATACTGAGCTCATTGGGGCCTAGGCTGTACTCTGTACTCCAAATTGAGACAAGTCTCCTTTTATATCAGCATTATAGAATGAGGTTAAACCAAATAGCTACATTTTCTGTTCTCTTGGTACTATTAGCTATTATCCAACTCCTTTTTTCTTTAGGATAAAGACCATTTATTTATTTATTTTTAAGAAAGAAAATTAACAGGTGGTAGCTGGTAGTGGCACACACCTTTAATCTCAGCACTTGGGAGGCAGAAGCAGGTGGATCTCTGAATTTAAAGCCAGCCTGGTCTACAAAGTGAGTTCCAGAACAGCGAGGGCACACAGAGAAATCCTATCTCAGAGAACAAAGAACAAAACAAATTTACTAGTTGTTTGTTAGTTTGGGATTAGAGAAGAAGGAATAAAGGTTGACCCTCAGGGTGGTCAGTAAACTGTTAGGGAGTTACTTTGAATAGGCTGTTTGGCCTCCTGTGGTCCTCTGTCCTCTGTGTGAAGTAATAATGTGACTGTTTACTGAGTAAGTTCGAGGGCCATTTGAATTTTCTGTGTTTTGGGCTTTTTTTGTTGTTGTTGTTATTTATTTGGTTTTTCAAGACAAGAGTTTCTCTGTGTAACAGCCCTGGCTGTCCTGGACCTCACTCTGTAGACCAGGATGGCCTCGAACTCAGATATCCACTTGCCTCTGCCTCTCAAGTGCTGGGATTAAAGGCGTGCGCCACCACATGGCATTGTTCCAGTTTTAAAATAAGTACCCTTCAGAGAGCACTGCCTAAATTCTTGATCCTCCTCCTCCAGTCTCCTGAATGCTGAAGCTTAGGCATTTCTGTCATACTCTGTGCTCAGATACTGTTATTCCCTAGACTCTAGAATGGATATATTGTTTTTATCTTATTTATCTGTTTAATTTATGTGTTTTCTGCATGCCACAGTGCATGAGTGAAGGTCAGGACAGCCTCCAGGTGTGGCTCCTTGCCTCTCCACAGAGAGATGGGGGTCTCTGCTGCTGTGTCTACCTCTCCCCATACAGACACTTGATTTACTGTATCTGGTTTTACAGGATCTGGAGAGCCAGCCTCCAGTCATCAGCAACAATTTCACATACTGAGCCATTTTCCTAGTCCTTACCTTCATTTTAAAGATAAGAACATAAAAGCAGAAAGAGTACTTTTTCTAAATTTACATAGTTGGCACACCTGCCTTGTGGTCTTTCAGTTTGGTGTAATGACTGCCTTATAGGAAGGCTGAGTGGACACAGGAATCTAACAATGAAAGCAGCTAACAGGCTGGAGGGATGATTTTAATTTCTCATTATTACAAATGGTGAAATCCAGCCAGCATGGTAACGCACGCCTTTACCCAGCATTCCTTAGGCAGAGGCAGACAGATCTCTGTGAGTTCCAGGACACCCAGGGCTACACAGAGAAGCCCACTCAAACAACAAAACAAAAACAAATGGTAAAATCCTTGACCTTAACTGTTGTCTGCATCTTCATCTCCTCCTCTGGAGCTGGGGCTAGAGATGCCTGTTCACATTGTTGTTACCAGGGTTGACAGGATTGTTTGTTTTGTTTTTCGTCTTCCTAGTGCTGGGGGTCAAATCTAGAACCTTAAATATGCTAGATAAGTGTTCTACCATTCCAACCCTCACGTCTGTTTTATTTTGGTGAATACAGACAGTTTGGGGATGGATTGTCTTAACTGTAATCTACAGATGCTTGGTTTCCTTTTGGTCAGTTTTATCTTTGCCCTAGCGTTCCCTCCTTTCCTATGTAAATTCTACCCATAGCTTTGAAGCAGGTAGCAGCAACCTGTGAGAGACGTAAAACTCAGATTCTGAGTGGATATCCAACGTCACACAACCAGGCAATGAAATGTTATTACTATTTCTTATTTGTTTAGGCACTTTGTTTAGTTCCAAGGTACGCTCCGGTCATTTCATTTGACTCTCAGCTGAGCGATCATGTGGATTATATAGGTCTTAAATACCTTGGTTAGGGCGTTAGCATGTAGTCAAGACAACAGTATGTGATTGCCAGGGCAGTCTGAAACTAGGACCCTTCCTTTTTTTTAAGTTAAGAAATATATTTGTTCCCAACTTAATACAACTGATGAGTGAGGCTTACCTAAGCAGAGCTGGGTTTATATATGCAAATGTAACCACCACAAAAAGACTTTGAGAATTTTCAGCAGCTGATGTACATTGCTACCTGAATAAACTCTGGCTATATAAGAAGGTAGCATGTCTCCATGGGTATGAAGGTGGGAATCCACTTTTACCTTTGGTACTTTTCTCCCAAGCAATCATATACTAAGAATGGTCCCATGGTTAGTGGTAGTAGAGTAAACCCTCTGTAACAGAGTCCTGCTGTGCCATGCCAGAGTGATAGCAAGCTACCTTAGCTAGCCATAACCCCCACTCTGTCATTCCTGGCTTAGCTCCCAGCCCCTAGTTCATCCTTTGTGTTACAGATATCTTTTGATGCCCTGTGGGAATCTTTTCTGAGAGTTTCCCATGGATACAAAGCCTATGCAAACTTGGTTAAGGGGAAAACCACCCAGGACCCTTTCTTATTGTCTAGTCATAAGTAAATATTGCTTGCTGTATGATAATACAGAAAATGCATTTTCCTCTGTGGCTTGAAAAAAAATATAGCTGATACAAATACCTCTTAGGGTTAAAAAAAAAAAAAAAAGGAAAGAAAAAATATAGCACAAAGCACCCAACTAATAAGTATGCTTCTTCTGTTTTTTTTTTTTTTTTTTTTTTTTTTACAGGGTTGCTCTGTAGTTTTGGTGCCTGTCCTGGAACTAGCTCTTGTAGACCAGGCTGGCCTCGAACTCACAGAGATCTACCTGCCTCTGCCTTCTGAGTGCTGGGATTAAAGGTGTGTGCCACCATTGCCTGGCCTTAAATTTTTTTCCTTTTTTTTTTTCTTTCTTCTTCTTCTTCTTTTTTATTTTAGTAAAAGCTCAGGATTTTATTACCTTCCTAACAAAATCAGCTTACAATCAGGTCACTTGGTCCTTTCTTTTCTTAGCACCTCCCAGTTCAAAATACTTGCATCTCTCATTAGCCAGTATCTTCTTTGATCTGCAGTTGGGCTCTACACACTCTGGTCTCAGCACAACCTTTTTTGGAGTTTTAGCCCTGGGCATACAAAAGTATCCTTGCCCATTTTGTCCTGTGTTACTTTGTGGGGTCAGAGCTTGCCACATTTTCTTGCAAAACATCCGGCAGGTAGTTCACCATGTTGGTGAAAGCAATATTGACACAGAAATAAAGCTTAAATTTTCTTAAAAAGAACAAAACCTCACACTGCTAGGTCACAGGTGCCTTTTAAAAGCAAAACGTCAATGAAGAACAACAGTCTAGTGAACACATCTGGTTTCAGACTGTAGGTAAATGAGTTTGGGCAAATTATTCATCTCTGAGCCTCACTTTTCTGTATCTATAAAACCAGGTTATGAATATCCTACATAGGGCATAGGATGATGTAGTATAGTGTTAGAATACTTGTCTGGCATGTACCAAGGCCCTGGGTTCAATCCCCAGTAATGCCCCCACCCCCCCTAGAAAAAGGATTGTATGTGATTGTTTAGATTTAGAGTCATTCTTGGGGTTGGAGATATACTGGCAAATGCGTTTGATGATGGTCTATAAATTGGGAGGCTGTGTACAGAGGTTCACCAAGAGAGTACTACAGAAAGAGATGTGTGCTTCTGTTTCCTGATCACCTAGTGACGTCTCTGAGACGCTGCTGGATAAGTGCCTCTATAGCAACCACTCTCCTCATCCTGACATCTTGATCCGGACCTCCGGAGAAGTGCGGCTGAGTGACTTCTTACTCTGGCAGGTGGGTAGTTTTGGAGCATGTTATTTGGGTGTTAGACTGAACCCGAGAATGAGAGTGATTCATTCAAATCGAGCACCATTGTGTGAGCAGGGCCAGAGGGCTAACATCTAGACCAATCCCTCTAGGCTGTACTTGGTAGCATGTACTTTTCTTTCCTCACCTGAAGCTGGGCATATGATGTGGTTATTGCTCTCTGACATTCAGGGCTTTTGTCGTAAACTCTATATCCAAACTCTCAGGATTACTGTTGTCTTTTTGCTCAGTTATCCTAGCATAGGTAGTTATCCCAGCATAGGTAATCCCTAAAAATTCGCATTCAATTAGGACTGTTGGTTGTTTAAGAATCTCTGTATTATGGTGCATACCTTTAATCCCACCACTAGGAAGAGAGAGGCAGGCAGATCTCAATCCCACCACTAGGAAGAGAGAGGCAGGCAGATCTCTGAGTTTGAGGCCAGCCTGGTCTACAGAAGGAGTTTCAGGACAGCCAGGGCTACAAAGAATGATCCTGTCTCAAAAAAAAAGCAAAAACTAAAAAAACAAAAAGAAAAGAAAGAAGAAGGAAAGGTTAAGGGAGACAGCTTAGAAATATCTCATGTGTCAAAGTCCAGAAATTTTAATGGATTGATCTTTTAAAAGTGAGGGGCTAAGAAGATAGTGCATTTGATAATCCTTGGTGCGTAAGCATGACAACCTGAATTTGAGCCTGCACCCTTAAAAAAGCCTGCTGCGATGGAGCACACTCAAAATTCTAGTGCTCGGAAAGTGAAGACAAGGGGCCCTGTGTTGAAATAGGAGCGGCGGGGCTGCGTCCCCAACACCCCAGCCGCTTGCTAGCTCATGCCCGAAATAACAACACACAAACTGTATTCATTTAAAGAACTGCTTGGCCCATGAACTCTAGCCCTTACAGGCCAATTCTCACACCTGGACTAGCCCATTCTAATGATGTGTGTAAGCACCCCAAGGTGCGCTTACCGGGAAGATTCTAGCCTCCGTCCATCATGGGTCTGAGCTTCATGCGTCTACCTGGGAGGGCTGAGCATGGCGTCTCTGCTCCAGAGTGCAGAGCTGTCGGGTCTCTCCGGGAGCAGAGCAGAGTCTGACCTCACTTCCTCTTCCGCCCAGCATCCTATTCTGTTTATTCCACCCACCTATGTTCTAAGCTATGAGGCCAAACAGTTGGTTTATTATAATTAACTAATTACCTTCCTCCATCACCCTGGAGCCCTGGCCAGCCAGCCTTGCCTGGTCTGAAAGGCCCTATCCCAGAGAAAGAGCCCATGTCTGAGGAACAATAGCCAAGATTGACCTCTAACCTCTACACACAGACACACACAAACTGACAGCTAGCTACTGAAAATGCATTTGTTTAGTCTTTGGGTATCTTTAAGGAGATACAGTGTACCTAATGGTTCTGTAGCCCTTTCTTTACTCAGATCACATTTTAAGAGTTTACATTGAGCTGAGATTTAAGAAACTGCAGTGGGGCTAGATACGTAGCTCATTGTCACACTGCTTGCCGAGCATGCTCAGTGCCCTGATTTGATCCCTGAAACTTTTGGGGGAAGACAAAATGGCAGAGAGAGGAATTAGAAGAGAGTCATACTGGCAAGGTGAGGACTTACCCGATGAAACAATCCCAAGTCTTTAAAAAGGAGATTTAGCAGTGGACAGTGATCTACAAAAGCTGACTGTCTGCTCAGAAAAGTTGCTTGAGTTCCTCCTCCGCTGGAAGTGTTGCTGTGATGAACTCAGCAGTGATTGCTGCTCTCTGCAGATGGGAAACTGTTGGACGAGTCTGGACTCTGAGCTGAGCAAGTCACCGCAGCCCTAGGGAGGAGGAGACGCTTGAGCCTGTCTATTCCACAGCGAGACTGTCTCACAGCTAAAAACAAAATCAAAGGCACTTTCTCAGACAGGTGGTCCTTTAATCCCAGCACTTGGGAGGCAGAGGCAGGTGGATCACTATGAGTTTGAGGCCAGCCTGGTCTACAGAGCAAGTTCCAGGACAGTCAAGGCTACACAGAGAAACCCTGTGTGTGTGTTTGGGGGGAAGGGTGTATGTATTCCAGAGAAAGTACTTGGTGTCTTGGTAGCAGCTATTGGGAAGGTGCCATTGGTCTAGAATAGCAAACACGTTATCCCCTGTGAGGCATTTGGTTGTAGACAGTAAGCCTTGGCTGTCAGGAGTATTTGGGACTGGGGATAGCTCAACTGTAGTAATGATAGTTTATGTTTCTGCTGTCTGAGCTTTCCTTCATGCACATTTAATCTTCATAGTTCATAAAACCAGACTCTTGGTGTTTCCTTTACACCTGAAGCTAAGTCCCAGAGAGGTTAAATAACTCAGTCAGTTCAGTGGTAATGGTAGATCCAGGCGGTTTGGCTCCAGAACCCCCTGGGCTTAAACATGGTGTCACACTGTTGCTACTTAAAATAACAAGAGCAGCTACCATTTGTTCTGGCTGACTTTATCAGATTGCGTGCATCTTAGAAGACCTCCACGAGCCAATACCACAGTCCAGATGCTATTTCATAGTCCTAAAATTGGCTTTTAGGGACGTGGTGGGGCTGGTGTAGTGGCCTAGACCTCAGGCTGCAGGCAGATCAGTGTGGGTTCCAGGACAGCCTGAATTCTACATGATGAGTTCCAGTCTAGCCATTGCTGCACAGTGAGAAAAACAGGAAAAGACCTGGTATAAACATTTACCTAATCTGGTTCTGCCTTGCCACAGGCAGGTGATCTCATTGCCTCATGGTCCTTTTTCCAACAGTGAGGGAAATGGGCTGACGACAGAAACATCCAGGCCTCTGGAAAGCTCTGCCATCTTGTTTTAGGCCTTCTCCCACACAGCCTGCCCTCCATTGGAGGACTGACCAGCAAGCAGTGCAGTTCTGTGTTCTGACTAACTCCTACTCCCTATTTTCTCCAGACCTCTCATTCCTGCCTGGTGTTCCAGCCTGTTCTGTGGCCAGAATACACATTTTGGAACCTCTGTGAGGCAATCCTGCAGTTTCAGATGAACCATAGTGCACTTCAGGTATGAGTCGGGCAGGATGGGATGGACGAGGTGGCCCTGACAGACCCACCATGTGCTGTACCTTGCTATGTACTTCTTTTTAAAAAGGTTTTATTGCGTTTGTTTATTTGTACATATGTTTGTGTGCATAGATGTTCCATAATTAATGTATGCCTGTGTGTAGTGTATGTGTGGAGGACAGCCTTTGGGAGTATGTGTGCCTGTGTGTAGTATATGTGTGGAGAACAGCCTTTGGGGGTTGGTTCTCTCCTTCTGTGGGTCTCATGGATTGAACTCAGGTTGTCAGGCTTGATGACAAGTGCCTTTACCCACTGAGCAATCTTTCCAGCCTACCAAACATTTCTTGCACACAAGAATACCCATGCACAAAGGGTTCACACACCGGGCTCTCGTGTTGAGTCCTACAGTTTGAATGCCCAGAAGCCTCTGTTATCTCAGGTTTCTCAGTGCTTTGCACATGGTTTGTAGAGGAGTTGCCACAGGTTCTGTCGTCTTCATAAATGTTTATTGAGTCTCAAGTATGAATCAGGCTAGTTGTTAGGCACAGGAGTACCAGCAGCTACCCAGCCAGACAAGATCTCTGCCCTCGTGACACTTACATTTGTAGTTGAATAGACAGACAGTAAACAAACTAACAAAAGTAAGGAAATTCTCAGCTATAGCGAGGCAATAAGGAATACACAGCGTGATGACGGAGTGTCACGAAAGGGGCAGGGGGCTGCCTGAGCTCTGCTGTTCAGTCCTGGAGTGCTCAGAGGGAAGGCGGGGAACAAGCCACAGTCAGTCAGGCCTCTTAATCACGCAAAGCTAGGTGGGTGGAAGTAACACAACCAGAGGACTTAGGGGATAGACAGAATCTGATAGGACATCTGGGTAAAATAAATAAATAAACAAACAAACAAACAAACAAACAAATAAATAAAACCTGTGGAGCACACCTTTAATCCCAGCACTAGGAGGCAGAGGCAGGTGGATCTCTGTGAGTTCAAGGCCAGTCTGGTCTATAAGAACTAGTTCCAGGACAGGCATCAAAGCTCCAGAGAAACCCTGTCTTGGCGGTGGGAACACAAAACCACAAGAGACTTTGAGGGCCGGAGGCAGAGTTGAGATGAAGCCCCTGATGCTAGAGAGTAAATCCAGATCTTCACGTTACTAGGCCAGCACTGGACCAGCTGAGCCGCTGCTCCACCCCACATCTGCTTTTTGTTCTTCCAATTTATTTTTACTATCTTTAATAATGGTTGGATATGCACACATGAGTGCAGTCACCCAGAGGCCAGAGGTGTCATCCTCGGCAGCTGGTGTTACAGGTGGCTGTGACCTGCCTGCCCTCTGCGTGCTGGGACCCAAACTCAAGAAGAGCAGCGTGCTTTCAGCCACTGAGCCGTTCCTCCTTTCCTTTTATTATTGATTTTTATATTTTATTTATGGACTGGAAAAATGGTTTGGAAGCTTAGGGCACTTGTTGCAGAGCACCCACACGGAGCCACACAGCCATCCTTAACCCCAGTTTCAGGGATCCAGGGCCCTCTGCGGACCTCCGAGGGCACCAAGCTTACACAAAGTGCACAGACACACATGTAAGTAACACTCTTACACATAAAATAAGTCTTCAAAAAACTTTCTTTCTCATCTGTACTTGTTTCTTTAAAAAAAAAAAAAAGAATTAAGCTGGGTGTGGTGTGGTGGTGCATGCCTTCAATCCCAGCAGTGGAGGCAGAGGGTCTCTGAGTGCAAGGCCAGCCTGGGCCACAGCTTGAGTTTCAGGACAGTCAAGGCTACATAGAGAAACCCTGTCTTGAAAAAGAAAAAGACCCTCTCCAAATAAATAGATAGACAAATTTTTAGTGTGTATGAGTGTTTTGCCTGTATGTGTATGTGAATGTACACTGTGGGGGGTTGTTGTTTCTGGTTTTTTAGGAGGGCAAGGGAGAGTATTTTTGAGACGGGGTTTCTTTCTGTTATTCTGGCTGTCCTGGAACTCATGTAGACCAGGCTGGCCTGAAACTCACAGAGAACTGCCTTTCTCTGCCTCCCTAGTACTGGGATTAAAGGTGTGCATCACCACTGCCTGACGTGATTTTTTTTTTTTTTTAAGATGTTTTTACTGAGCTCTCCCTGTCCGTCCTTTATAAACGTTCCAAACCCCAGGCTCTGGTAAAGTGATGAACTCAGAGCTTTGCTCCATCTTATTATCTGTGTCTCCTGAGGGTGGAAGGGCAAAGAGGGTCAGCACCGTTTCTCAGAGTGACCTTCATTAGAGTCTTGGCACGACATTGCCTCCGACCTGTATAAAAATTTCTCTGAGAATCAGTGTTCTTGAGATGGAGTGGCAATGCCCACTAGGCCATGGGGTGAGGCAGGAGGATCTAGGAGTCATCCCCAGCTACATAACACATTTGAGGCTATGGCCTATCTGAGATCCTGCCTCAAAGAATGTTTCCTTGATTGTTGTTATATAGGACATTACGTACGCTCATGAGAGACGCTGACCTTTAGGACTTCTGTCCCTTGGCATGGTTGTACACACCTGCTACCCCAGACCAGGGAGTCGGGGGCAGGAAGACTGCCATGTGTTTAAGGTAGCCTGGGCTAAGTTGTAAAAGTTGGTCTCAAAAAACTCCAAAAACAAGCAAACAAAAAGTAAAGAAAAAAAGGTGGGGGACCTAAAGAGATACATCAGTCAGCTGGTAAAGGACCCAGACTGGATGGCTGACAACTGTCTGCAGCTCTAGCCCCAGTGAGAGCGGATGCTTATGGCCTCCATGGACACCTGCACTTAACGTGCGAATAACCAAGCACACACGTGTACATAACTAAAAACAATCTGGGTGTCGTAGCTTGTGTTTGTAATCTAAGTGTGGGGAGATGGAGACAGGCAAAACCCTGGGATTATCAGCCATTGTAGCATTAAGTGTCAAGCTAGTGTGAGACGCTGTCTTAAAAACAAGGCAGAGCAGGCAAGTTGGTGCAAGCCTCTGTCCACACATGTCCAAGAAGAAAAAGGAAAGAGAAGGGAAAATAAGGACTTTGGTAAACTTGAGGATTTTTTTTTCCTCCTTTTTTCTTTGAAGTAAGGCTGCTAGCTCTGGCTAGCGTGGTACTTACTATGTAGCCTAGGACAGCCTTGAACTCACAGCAGTCCTGCTGGGGTCTCCTCTGTGATGTGATTATAGCTGTGTGCTGGAATTGCCAGTGTGTCCTACTCGCTTGGATTTTCTGAGGACAAATAACTGAGAAGAGCCCAGGGCCCCTCTGATATTGGGAGAGTAGCTCCAGACACGTGGGTGTGCCCAGAAGGTATCTAGAAGATGGCTTTTCCACCCCCAGGAACCATAGCTATCCGTAGGTACAAGAACTACTCCCCATCCTCTCTTGAAACCATGTTGGGCCAGTGTGGCGGTACAGCCTTTAATCCCAGCACTGGAGGCAGAGGCAGGCAGATCTCTGTGAGTTTGAGGCCAGCCTGGTCTATGTAGTGAGTGCGAGGAAAGCCCAGGTTATATAGCCCTGTCTCAATTGTTTTGTTTTGCTTTTTTTTTTTTAAAGAAATTTAAAAAGCCAACAAAATTTCAGACAGCTGTTTATATATGACATAAACTGAGTCCCTTCGTGTCTGAGCCTCAGTGTCCTTGTCTGTGAAATGAGGAAAGCAGCCTAGCATCTCTCCCCTTGTCATGGTCATGGTTGGTGCCTGAAGACGCTCAGGCTTGGTTGGCCTTGGCTCCTGCTTTATTTACTTCTAGCCCTGAGCTGTGGCTGCCATCTAGAGGAGCCCTGAGCCTGCAGGCTGCCTTTCCTCCGTCCGTGGCTGTTTCCTGGGGACAGGACAGCAGATAATTCTAAGTGAGGTATTCTTTATCTCGTTTTTCTTGAGTCATCCCATGGAGGTGGGCGCTGTTGACCCCATTTCCCAGATAAAGACAAACTTTAGAAGCCAGGTGTGGAGGCACACACCTTCAATCCCAGCACTCAGGAGGCAGAGGCAGGCAGATCTCTGATTTTGAGGCCAGCCTGGTCTACAAAGCGAGTTCCAGGACAGCTAGGGCTGTTACACAGAGAAACCCTGTCACGAGCCTCCATCCCCCCCCCAAAAAAAAGCCTTGGTGGCTGGAGAGATGGCACAGTGGTTAGGAATACTGACTGCTCTTGCATCTGATATGGTGGTTTACAACCTCCTAACTAGTTCCCGGAGTTCAGTGCCCTCTTCTGATCTCCCCAGGCATACCCAGGTGTGTATACATAAATATGCAGGCAGAACATTCATTCATACTCATAAAATTAAAGTAAAACTTATTTTAAGGAGAGGAAGCCTTGGGGCCTGGTGACAAAGGCTGTGATCCCAGCACAGGCTGCAGAGAGAGGATCACAACAGCTTTGAGGCCAGTCAGGCGGTGGTGGTGCACCCCTTTAACCCCAGGAGTTGGGAGGCAGAGGCAGGTGGATCTCTGTGAGTTTGAGGCCAGCCTGGTCTACAAGGAAGTTCCAGGACAGGTAGGACTGTTACACAGAGAAAACTGTCAGAAAAGAAAAGAAAAGAAAAGAAAAGAAAAGAAAAGAAGGAAAGAAGGAAGGAAGGAAGGAAGGAAGGAAGGAAGGAAGGAAGGAAGGAAGGAAGGAAGGAAGGAAGGAAAAAGAAAGTTCAGGAGGCCAATCAGGACCACATAGCAAGAGCCTGTCTTTAAATAAATAGCCATTTTTAAAATCATGCTATAAAACAAAAGTAAAAATGGTATAATTTTATAGCTGGCTGTTTATTTTAACTGACTGAAAAGTTTTATGTAAGATATTCAATATCTAATGTAAATTTTGATTAGAGATTTTTGTTATATTACCAAATTTCAAATCTCAATATCTGGTCTATAAAATAAAACATGTAGTTGTTCAGGATTTCTCTTTGTTTTTGAGACATGGTTTCTTTGTGTAGCCCTTGCTGTGCTGGGACTTGCTTTATAAACCAAGATCACATTGGCCTCGAACTCACAGAGATCAGCCTGCCTCTGACTCACAGTGTTGGGATTAAAGGGATGTGCCACCACACCCAGCTAGCATTACTCTTAAAATTTCTTGTATGTGATATGGATTATTTATAGTTCTTCTTAGAAATAAAAGAAGTTTACTTGAAAAAGATAGGAAAATAGGAGTGGGTGGTGGTGGCGCACACCTTTAATCCTAGTACTTGGGAGGCAGAGGCGGGCGGATCTCTGTGAGTTTGAGGTCAGCCTGGTCTACAGAGGGAGATCCAGGACAGCCAGGGCTACACAGAAACCCAGTCTTGAAAAATAAAAAAAAAATTAAAAAAAAAATGAAAAAGGGGAAAATAGGAGAAATGACTGAGCTGTTAAGTGGGCTTCCTGCTCTTCCAAAGATGAAGATCAGTTTCCAGTAGTCACAGGCTCACAGCCGCCTGTAACTCCTGCTCCGAGGGAAAGCCAGTGTTTCTAGTCTCTGTGGGCACCTGTACTTGAGTTCTTACCGAAGTACAGGTACCCACACACACTCAATTAGAAAAGTTATAAAAACTATTTTTTTTTTAAGAAGAAATAATAGGGGGCTGGAGAGATGGCTCAGAGGTTAAGAGCATTGCCTGCTCTTCCAAAGGTCCTGAGTTCAATTCCCAGCAACCACATGGTGGCTCACAACCATCTGTAATGGGGTCTGGTGCCTTCTTCTGGTCTGCAGGTGTACACACAGACAGAATATTGTATACATAATAAATAAATAAATTTTTAAAAAAAAGGAGAAGAAGAAGAAATAATAGTCTTAGAAAGGCGAGAGTCTTTTGTACAGGAATTTTTCAAATTTCAGGGCTTCAAGCAAATTCATTCTGACCTGAGAAAATTGATGCATTTTTTTTGTGTGTGGTATGGTTAGTGTGTGTGTGTGTGTGTGTCTGTGTCTGTGTCTGTAAGTGTACATCTGCTATCTTCCCTCAATCTTTCTCCATTCCTATTTTTATTTTATTTATTATCAGTGTATATGTTTAAGTGTAATGTGGGTATACACAGTGTCCCACAGTATGTATGCAGAGGTCATGGGGCAACTTTGGTTTTCTCTACCTTTATTTTGTTTGGTTATTATTTTTGAGTCGGGGTCTCACTATGTACCTCTAGATGGTCTGGGACTCACAGTGTAGGTTGAGCTAGCCCGCCCCTTCCTCTGTAGACCAGGCTGGCCTCAAACTCACAGAGATCCGCCTGCTTCTGCTTCCTGAGTTCTGGGATTAAAGCGTGGACTACCATAACCAGCTCTCCTGTCACCCTGCATGGCGTCCGCAGATGGAATCCATTTGTCAGGCTTTACCAGCCCCTCTCCCTACCTATGCATTTGCCAGCCCTCCCACCTCCACCTTTGTTTTGAGACAGGATCACCTCTGAAGGTGAAGTTCATCTATTCTGCCAGGCCGGAAGTTTCAGGGATGCCCTCTCTCTCTACCAGTGCTAGGGTTATAGGCATATTCTGACACCTTTGGTTTCTGGGGCTCCAACTTGAGCCCCCCCCCAAGTAATTATTTTATTTTTGGGGGGTGTTTTGAGACAGTCTCCCTGTTATGTAGTGCTGGCTGACCTGATCGCTGTGTAAACCAGGGTTGTCTGGAACTCAGAGATCACCTGCCTCTGCCTCTTGGTGCTGGGATCACAGGCGTGTGCCACCACACTTGGCTGCTCACAGCTCCATTCTCAAGGTCAGTGAGACAGTGGGCGAAGTGTTTGTGAACATACCATAGGCGGCTCCTAAAAAGCAGAGGCATGGTGGCACATGCCTTTACTCCCAGAACTCTTAGAGGCCCGTGAGTTCCAGGCCAGCCAGGTGACACAGAGAAATTCCGTCTCAAAACAAAGTGAGGACAAGGCAGTGAGCTTGTAGATGATTAGGACATGGTCAGACTCTGGAGGCCAGGCATAGTGTCAGGACTCATCTGTGAGACACGCCAATCACTTCTGTTCTAAAGGATTTCCCACTTTGGTCACCTGCACCCTTCCTGTACTCTTGTGAGTGACCTCTGCATATGCAGAGTGTTCTGAGTGCCAGAGACATAAAGTAGTCTCTGCCCTCGTAAAGAATCTCTCTGAAGACATATGCACAGTCTGGGAGGCACTCAGAGCCTGTGATCACCACCAGCTGTCAGGGTGGCTCTGGAGCCGCCAAGGGATTCTTTCCGACAGAAAGATCAGACTAAAGACTAATACCTGGTCTAGGCAGCCTAAGTGGCTTAAGAGTTGAATTTGCGTCTCATCATTCCTAGGAGGGCTGTTTGCTCAGAGTCAAGCTTGTCTTCAGTATAGGAGGCTGGACCCTGAGAAATAGGTTAGGGAGCTGGAGAACAGCACCTCACACTGACATAAGAAGACCCAGTGAATATCGTCTCAGACAGCAGGCAACAACACATAAAATGGCTGTCTCTCTCCTGCTGGTATGTTAGAGTAGGTTTGCATTATTATCCCTAATCCCTTAAACCTCTCTTCAAGGTAGACACAGTCCCACGTTACAAATGAGCAAAACCAGGGAAGATCTCCCCACGGGTACAGCGAATCAGAAGTCAGGCTGTTTACCTGTTTCCAAGTGTAAGCTTGAAAGAATTTTAAGAAATACAAATATTTCCACACAAAACAAGCCAAGATGGACTGCTGCTAACTTCTGTGTAACACGGGCACCATCTACTGCCTCTCCACACTAGTAGAAACTCTCCGGAGTTACTCTGCTTGGCCACTCTGGAACCCTAGTCCCACCTTCTCCATCCCATCTTAACCCACACCTAAAATTATCTCCCCAAACCCCACTTTTCTCTAGCAGAAGGCCCGAGACATGTATGCTGAGGAGCGGAAGAGACACCAGCTGGAGAGGGACCAGGCTGCAGTGACAGAGCAGCTGCTTCAAGAGGGGCTCCAGGCCAGTGGGGATGCCCAGCTCCGACGGACACGCTTGCACAGACTCTCTGCCAAACGGGAAGAGCGAGTCCAGAGCTTCCTGAAGGCCTTGGAACTTAAACGGGCTGACTGGCTGGCACTTTTGGGCACTGCACCTGCCTAAGTGAGGCTGGCTAGTGGCCACTTTGCCCTGCCCTCTGCCTCTTGGGCCCCAACTTCCTTTTCTTTTCTTGGTGAAAGGCACCTCCCTGTTTTTGATGATTTCTGCTCCCTTTGCTTTTTTTGCAGGGAGCCTCAAAGGCAAGGCCTACAGCCTATAGTCAGACACCTTTGGACTCCCTGTGACAGTGACTCACCTAGAGTTTGAGGGAGTCTCCCATGCTTACACTAAATCCAAGAGCAGTCACTGATAATCTGGAGAAAGGGGACCCTAACTCATAAGCTGTGTTTACTGTCCGTGCCCCCACTCCGTTTTTGGATGCATATTCTTTTTCCACTAGCATATCCTAAAACATGCAGAAAAGGTCTTCCCAAAATCGAGGCCATTACCCATCCTGCCCAAGCCCCCACCACGTGACTTTGACAAAAGAATGCCCCCACTGGTAAATAACTGATAGGCAGCCAGCATCGCTGGGCAGGGGAGAAAGGGGTGGGAAGGACAGGAAGAAAATTTGCCCATCTGCTGCTCCTCCCCTTGGCTCTCCACCTGGGATTTGCTATTGAATCTCCACCCCTCCCACCGCCAGTACTGATTGCTCACTGAAAGGCTCAGCGCCCCCAATGGCTCATGGAAGCCAGGCGGGTGATTACAATCCAATTACCTATTGTTGACTCAGCCCACACAAGCTTTGCTCCCCCTTACAGGGCATGGGGCCAGGCTCCACTCCCCAGTGAGACCCAACCCCCTCCATGGCTACAGGGTAGCAGAAGGACCTAGAGAAGTCCCAGAGTATAATCGAACACATCAGGACCGAACAGAACCAAGCATCTCCTGATTGACTGTCTCCTGTTGCCAGCTCAGACTGATTCCCAATCTTCAAGGCTCCTCACAGCTCTTTGACCTGACTCCCTAAGTAGGCCCTGAGACACTTTACTGTCATCATGGCAGAACTTACTCAAGGCCCTCAGCCTGAGAGGGCCAACACTGCCTTTCAGGAAGAGACAAGATTGCCTGCCTCCCCCAGAGGGCTGAAGAGAGTTCTGCAGAGCTATTCTGCATCAGGTGCCCCAGAGCAGTAAATACTAGCCAGGAACACTGACCAGTTGCTACTCTGGTATTCTCATTGTCTCCAAACCCTTTCCGCAGCGCCTTCCTCCCGGAAAGAGGTGGGCTATTATAAGCCATGGTAAATGTACTCTTTAGATTCCTAACTTCTAGCCTTGCCCCCCACCCACCCAGTTTTGCGCCTAGATAGCTGTCACTGGTGACCTTTTGTCCATCATTCTTCCTCTCAGAATCAAGGATAAGAGCCTGACACTGTAACCAAAAGCCAATCAGTGCACCCTTTTGGCAAGGCCCCCTCTACACCTGGCACTCCCCAAAACCAAATCCTGGCACAGAGTTCCCCAAGAGCAGGTGCTGTACATTTTCCAGCTTTACAATGAGGCTGTTGACAGCCTTAATTAGGGAGGCATGAATTATGTGGCTATAATACAGAGCCCTACAATTAAGGCGGGAATGAGAGGCTGGAGGCAGCAAACGGAATCTGCCCAGCAAGCATGGCTGCTGAGTCCTGGCTGACTTTCTCTTACGACTGGAGTACAGTACAGGTGATTAATGGGCAAGGTATCTTCCAGCCTGGGGACCTGTATTCTGGGAAGGGTGCACAGGGCGGAGTGGGCTGGGGTAGGGGCTGCCTCAGGAGGCGCTGTGCCAGTGGAAAGAAGAGGCAAATCCGTTGCTATCCAGAAGCAAAGGCTGCAAAAAGCTTGTTTTGGATGTTTGCTTTCTGCTGGAATGGTTCGTGCAAACTAGCTTCCACCCTTGCCTCAAAAACTAAGGTGGGAACCTATATATGCGTCTTCCACCTGAGCGCCAAACACCCTGTTACAGATGTTTAGCTGGTTGTGTTCTGGGTGTCAAATAGAATTTTTTAAAATTGTTAGGTGTAAGATTTGTTCCGTGTCTATAACGAAAGAACGCCTTGCTTTGCTTCTGCGATTGGCACCCTCCCGCGAGTGCGCTGGCCAGCTCTAGAACGCCGGGCTTTGGACTGGGGTGCACAGGAGGGCCCCTTGGCCATCACACCTGTTCGTCTACTTGTTTCCTAATCTTCCGGCGCTTTCCTTCAACGGCTTCTTCCTCACGCAAGCGAGAACAAGCCGGCTTGAGAGTGTGTTGGGGGGGGGGGAGGTTTCGCCAGCTGTGGCATCTGCACAGCCCAGGTTTGGTGGCCTCTGTCGAGTGGGGGCAGCTGGGCTAGCTGTATCCGAGACCCAGAGGGCTTAGGGGGAGGGGAGTGCTCGCAGACCGTGTTGGCGGCTTTTCTCCACCATTCTGTGATGGGTCCAGGGGGCCGGACGTGCAGGGGCTTAAGGAAGCCACCCGGCCGATATTGGGGGGCTGTGTAGCGTTTGGGGAGGCCGTTGAGCAGTAGGTGCTGAAAGGACAGCTCCTACCTGCCCGGCCGTACACGAAAGGCACCCCTGTGTGCAAAGTCTCCACTTGGAGCCCACGCCCCCACCTCCAGTGGACGGCTTCCCAGGTGAGGCGCACGGAGGGATTTCCCGAGGTAGCAGTTCGGAAGGATGCACGTCCGACTGCGCCAAGCCAGCCCCCTCGCTCTCATCCCACTAGAGCCCGTGGCCCCTGGAGCGGCCGCCTCCCGTCGTCGCCTATGGAGCCGGGCGGCGCGGCCAGGCCTCGCCATCCCCTCTTGTGGGGCCCCCAGCGGGAGCCGGAAGGAAAGCGGCCGAGATGTGCCCAGTGTCGCACGGCTTGGAGAAGTGGGTAGCAGGGTTGCATAAGGTGGAAGGAACTTGGGAGTTTGCAAAAGCCAGCTCGGGCGGGAGCAGAACCCCGAGCCCGCCGCCTCGCGCGCCCCTCATTTACTGCCTCGGGCGCGCGCCTCCCCCACCGCGCCCCCTCCCCCAAGGCGCGCGCCCGTCTAGCTCACCCTCCCCCGACACCCCCTCCTCACTCCAGAGGAGGTGAGTTTAAACCCCGCCCACGTGACCCCAGCTGGGCCAATGAGCGGCGGCGGGAGGTGAAATCCGGTTCTAACCGGTCCGAGGCTCCCAGCGCTATAAAAACTTTATAAACCCCCCGGAGCCCGAGCAGTGTGAAGAAGCAGCGAGAACGACCCCCGGACGGACCCGAGCCGCGCACCGCTGCAGCCCCGCGTTCAGCGCCGACGTTCCCCCCCGCCGCCGCCATGCCCAAAAGAAAGGTACGTGGCGCGAGCGCGTGGGCGCCCGGGCGCAGCCACTGCCGCCGCTCGCCTCGAGCGCGGAACTCGGCAGGGAGAGCGGGCGCGGCGCGGGGTTCCAGCCCGAGTCCGGCCGCGGGCGAAGCCTGCGCGGCGCGCTGCCCGCGGGCGCCAGAAGCCATATTGGAGGAGCGGCGGCGGCGGCGACGGGAGGAGCCATGTTGGCCGCTGTTTATCCCGCTCCCCTCGGCCGCCCGCACCCCCTCCCCCACCAGCCGCCCCCTCCTCTCCTTCGGGCGGGCGGGCGAGCGGGCGATTCAAACCCGAAAGGGCGGGAAGGCGGCGCTCGGCTGGGCGGGCGGGGGAGCGCTCTGCCGCCAAAAAACTGACGCCGCGAGGGGCGGGGCCGCAGTGTGGCTCCGCCCCCCGGCCGCCCACGTCCCCGGCGCAGGGACCGCGCGCCGCCGCCCACGAGTTCCCCGAGCTCCCGCCCTCGACGGCTGCCATGGCAACGGCGCTGGGCTCCGCCTCCGGAGGGGTTTGTTTGCACAATCTGCAGCTGTTGCGCCTGCCTGGCTGGTGGCGCCCGGCGACTCGCCGGCCCCGCTCCAGCTTCTCCCGCGCTTCCCGGAGGCCGACCTGCGGGGTCTGCCGTGCGGGCCTCGACCTTCGTTGGGGCTCCATCCCCCACTAAGGCTACTTTTAAGAGACGCTGAGTCGATACGTTTTAGAAACGTGGTGTCGCTTTCTTTTAAGGTCGCGATGGCTGAGGTTTACCTCCGAGGTTACAAATTTTTGTTTTCTATCTTTATAGGCTGAAGGGGATACTAAAGGAGATAAAGCCAAGGTGAAGGACGAGGTGAGTCTTACCCACACAGGGCTTGTTGCACAGGGCTTTGGGTAATAACACCACGGGCTGCTTTGCTATTGTTTGACCTCAGCCCCAAGTCTGGAGTTACCCTAGAGTTTCTTTCTTCGCGTTCTTTAATGTGGAAAAACTGGTGCAGAAGTTGTGTTTATTTTTCTGACTTTGTTTTCTTTTTAATAGCCACAGAGAAGATCGGCAAGGTTGTCTGCTGTAAGTGTGTATACTTGACCCCGAGGTTGGGAAACATTTTGGGGATCCCTTTGATTTCGCTGAATTATAGTTTGTGGCTGGTTTTGAGTAAATTACCTTGTGGTGTGGCACCTCTGGAGTTTGTCGTGGTCCTAAGTTGTGATTAAGACCAAATTGGAAGATCACTTTCAGATCGTAAAAGAAAGGCAACCCCAATGATAGTTTTCCTAGATGTGTGGTTCGGGAGGTTGTTTCTTTTGGTCCTTGGTACTAATAGTTTGCTCTTCCCCATTGCCTACCAAAACAAGAAACCTGCTCCTCCAAAGCCAGAGCCCAAGCCTAAAAAGGCCCCCGCAAAGGTAAGCGGGACTGCATGACTGTGGTGCTAATACCAGATCAGATGGGTGATTTTCACAGAAAGAACTGTCCTTCCCCACCGTAACCTAATTCACCATAATGGGTGTCCACCAGTGGATGTTGTCGCTTTGGCCTTATTCCTGGTGTTTGTCATGTTAGTGTCTGTGGCACGAATTACAGAAAACTACCCTTGGCTGGGAAAGGAGTGTTTTTAGCAAACTTAGATTTCTGTAACTTAATTTATATTCCTTAGCAAAAAGTAGCTAAAATTATACTTCAGCCTAGTGGAGTGGGGTATATCTTCAGTAGGCAAGCCTGTAGAACTTGGTAGGTTACATCCTGGTATGCAAAATGAAAAACTGTAATATCTGTCTTTTGGCATTAGAAGGGAGAGAAGGTACCCAAGGGGAAGAAGGGGAAGGCCGATGCTGGTAAGGATGCCAATAATCCTGCAGAGAATGGAGACGCCAAAACAGACCAGGTACAGTGAGTCTTTCATCCCACAATTGTTTATTACCCCTTATATCTGGATCACTGTGTGGGGTGTGGTTTTTTCCTCCTGTTTGAAATCCTCAGTTCAAAAGTCTGTTATAATCTAGAAGGCACTTGCTGTTTTGGCTTATCCTGTCATGAAATTAAAGGTCTTGGGTCCTCTGATCCTATCTATCCCAATCAGTCAGTGGGCGGGGTGATTTAGTAAAGTGGGCTGTTCTTGAAGTGCAGTCTTGGTGTCCCCAAGTGGACCCAAACCTGGATTTTATCATGGGAACGATACCGTGTATATAGACTAGAGTAAGCAAAGGTAGAGTTTAGTTTATGTGTTGACTTTACTTGTTGTTCTTTTAGGCACAAAAAGCTGAAGGTGCTGGAGACGCCAAGTGAAATGTGTGCGTTTTTGATAACTGTGTACTTCTGGTGACTGTACAGTTTGAAATACTATTTTTTATCAAGTTTTATAAAAATGCAGAATTTTGTTTTACTTTTTTTTTTTTAAAGCTATGTTGTTAGCACACAGAACACTTCATTGTTTTGGGTGGGGAGGAACATGTGTCCCTAGCACTGTCTCCCAAGCTGGATGAATGATGGTTCATGATGGAAAACATCTTTCCCTGATAATTTTGAAGACTCCTCTTGGCTCCCAGGAGAGACCCCCTGGGGACATGTTGACATGTGTGGCCACCATGGCACAATATGCCTTGTGTGGGAAAACTCAGTTCATTTTTATATCCTCCTCCCCTGTACCATCAACATAGACTTAACTCCCTTAAGACCAGAGACCTGTTGGAACCTGATCCCCAAAATTGGTTTTGCCAGTCTGTTGGGCAATCCGGACTTTGCAGTGATACCATTGAGTGTCCTCAAAAGCGCAGCGGTTCCTTTTATAGAAGATTGTGGATCTGCACATTGATAATTCTGCCATTTTCATTTCATTTCCTGAAAGTCAGGGTCGGCTTGTGAAGAGTTGTGAAACAACATCCTCGATGTGAAATGTCAGCCCTCACTCTAAACTCCTCCCCCTTTGCAGAGCATCCAATGG